GAGACTTGATCATCAGTTTTACATTCAACAAACCGTATACTTTGTTTCATTATAATGATTAGACTCCCCACCATGTACCATCAGTTAACAGTATTTCTCTCTATTCATTTTAGCTTTTATTTATTTATTTATTTATTAACACTCAGGCATATATAATAATTTGAACCACCAAAGGGCACATTCTGCAAACCTGCTTCCTGGCTGCCAGCCTTCAGTCCCTGTCTTTCCATGAATCTGGAGTCCTCAGCTACTTCCTCTCTCCATGTCATCATCTCTGCCTCCATCTCTGGTGTCACTGCTTCTTTGGATAGGGTACCACATTCTGCTTGTGCTCTTCTCCCTTGATGGTCCTAGGATCCTCTGTTTCTGGACGGCACAGTGATGCTTTGTGCCTTCTATCTTCTTTTGGTGCTTTCTAGCATGATTAAATGTTTTCCAAAGGTATTCTTCAATATTGCAAATTGAGGCTTTAATTTTATCATCACTTTTTCAGCTTGAAAATTGCTTAATATCATCTTTCCTTTTAGTATTCTAACTCCAGGTCTTTATACATTTAATTTGAATACTTGACTTTGGTTTTTGAAGCTGCCCTTTGCAATTTTCTATTAAGCTCTTTTATTTCTTAGTTTTTAAATTTTTCTTTAGCATTTCTTTGATGCTAAACAAGTTTCAAAGTCCCTTCTGACATCCATTTTGTTCTTTTCTTTCTTCCCTGCCTTTTTAATGTCCTTTTGTTTTCTTTCTGTACTCTTCATGTCATCCACAGCTCTTCTTGTCTTTGGTTATTAGTATCAAATGCATCAAATCTCATCTTAAGATGGTCTCTAAATTCAGGCAGGATATGTTCAAGGTCATATTTTGGCTCTGTTGAACTTTTAAAAATTTTCTTCAATTTCAGCCTTGAACTTGCATATGAGCAATTGATGGTCTGTTCTACTGTGAGCCCCTGCCCTTGATATGGCTGATAATATTGAGCTTTTCAACCATCTCTCCCACAGATGTAGGTAATTTTATTACTGTTTAGGCCATATTGTAAGGTTCATGTGTATGTTTTTGAAAAAGGATTTTGCAATAAATAAGTCATTGTTGTTGTTAAGTGCTATAAAATTGGTTCTGATTTATAGTAACCCTATATAGAGTTTCTAAGGAGTTGAACCACTGACCATGTGGTTAGCAGTACAGGGCTTATCCTACAGTGTTACACCAGAGCTCCAAATAAGTCACTGGTTCCACAAAATTCTATCATGTGATCTCCAGCATCGTTTCTATCACCAAGGCCATATTTTCCAAATACAAATTCTTCCTATTTGTTTCCAACTTTTGCATTCCGATCACCAGTAATTATTAATACATCTTGATTGCATGTTTGATCAATTTCAGATTAAAGAAGTTCATAGAATTCTTCAATTTCATCATCATTGGCGTTAGTGGTTGGTGTGTATATTTGAAGAGCAGTGGTATTAACTGGTCTTCCTTGTAGGCATATGGATATTATCTTTCACAGACAGCGTTGTATTTCAAGTTATATCTTGAAATGTTCTTTTTGCTGATGAATGCTGTGCCATTCCTCTTAAATTTGTTATTCCTGGATAGTAAACCATATGATTATCAGATTCAAAATGGCCAATACCGGTCCTTTTCAGCTCACTAATGCCTAGGATAACAATCTTGGTGTATTCCATTTCATTTTTGACAAATTCCAATTTTCTTAGATTCATATTTGCATGTGCCATTTTCTGATTATTAATGAATGTTTGCAGCTGTTCTCCTTATTTTGAGTTGTGCATCATCAGCAAATGAACATCCCCAAAGTTTTTTCCCATTCATGTCATCATGGTCAACTCTACTTTGAGGAGGTAGCTCAGTCATATTTTGAGCACCTTCCAACTTGAGTGCCCATCATCTG